AGTGGTCTAGTATCAATTGACTCATGATTTTAATGATTAAAATTATTAAAATCTCCACAAAAGTCCTTCTGATACTACTATTATTATTAATTATGATATTGATAATGATGAATGTAACGAAGATCTTCTTGGAATACTATCATTCTTTTAGTGAATGTTGAATGTATGATTTTAGGATTATTATGAACATTAGTAGTTTTATGGTTGATTACTACATTGATGAAGTACAGACAAGATTTCTAGACGAAACGGTCAAATTATTAAAATATCTTGATGAGGTTTTGTTCTATGAGCTAGATAGTATAGTTAGGGAGTTTTCATCATTCTTCTGAATGACATCATCCGTACAAACTTCAGGTAGAAGTGAAGTGCTTGAATTTCCCCGCATATGGTTCACAGTTTGTTCTGTAGACCTTGATGGTGATTGATTAAAAACAACAATAGGAACAATACAAAAACGGGGCGGGTTTGCATGCATATAGCATACAATTCTCTTTGAACCTAACACATAACAACAGCATCATGCACTGTCCCATCGCCCTTTGCAGATCAGGTAACCCGAAAGTTACGAGAACGCCATCAGGGCACACGACAGGCTAGGTACTCTGGTTCTAAACAAAATCATTCCTCTGAGCTATATATATATATATATATATATATATATATATATATATATATATATATATATATATATATATATATATATATATATATATGAGATGAAGATTCGCCGATTTTTTCATTTAAACACATAAATACTGATACAAGGGGGCACCAGATACATATGCGCCACAGAAATCTCATTTTATTTGTGTGAGAGCTGTCATACTGCCCAAGGGCCCGAACCGAAGTAGATGGTTTTCTTAGATGACCACACGCAGAGGATTCGACGTAAAGGTCTAATTCACAAAGCAGTAAAGCAACGTCAAGAGATGCAGTCCCATGGTAGCCGGTGTTCAACGATTAGTTCATATACCATTTAATCCCTCAGGGTACTGAAGCCCATGTAAACCATTGGTTCGGAATCAGGGTTTTCCAACTCCCCTAGGCGAACCCTCCGTGTCCACTAAACCGAGTAAAGCGCCGGACATTCGCTTTTCTTCCTTTGAATTTCGTAAATAACAGTAGTGCCACGAGAAGGTAGTGAGTAGGACTTCCGTAGTAGTGGTTGTATGCACGTGGCTATGTAAGAGCATTTCGAGAGGGAGAGCAGACTCCTCAGTCTCGGCCGTACCATGGTATTTGGGGGCTTTCATCGATACAACACAACATTCACCAATCGAATTACACAAGACAGAGAAAATTTGGAAGTTGCAAAAACCTTTACATATCACGGCAGCATCATTGATGAACACGGTGGATCTAATGCAGATATGAAGACGCTGATCGGCAAAACAAGAGCAGCATATTTACAACTGAAGAACATCTCGAACTCAAAACAACTGTCTGTCAAACAACATCAAAGTCAGAATTTTCAGTATAAATGTCAAGACAGTTCTACTGTATGGAGCGGAAACTTGCAAAACTACAAAATCCATCATCCAGAAGTTACAAGTATTTATTAACAGTTATCTACGCAAAATAATTCGGATTCGTTGGCCACACACTATCAGTAGCAGCCTACTATGGGAGAGAACAATCCAGATCTCAGTGGAGAAAAAATGCAGAAAGAAGCGCTGGAAGTGGATAGGACACACATTGAGGAAAGCACCGAACTGCATCACAAGACAAGCCTTCACATTGAATCCTCAAGGTCGAAGTAGGAGAGGAAGACCAAAGAACACATTACGCCGGGAAATGGAGACAGAAAGATATGAGAAGAATGAACAACAATTACATAGAACTAGAAAAGAAGACCCAGGATAGAATGTGTTGGAGAATACTGGTCGGTGGCCTATACTCCATTAGGTATAACAGACGTAAGTAATGAGATGAATAAAAAACGAAATGTATATTCAACATGGACTCAATCAAACATGTATATCCAATTCTAATACATACATTTTTATTATTCCTCTCTTTCATTTTTGATTCTTAAACTATAACTATACTCTATTATTCTATATGAAATGACTATTAACATTATCACTTGAAGTAAACAAACAGAAACATAGTGTATCTGTGAAAGCGAAATAAAGATTAAGTGTGTGTGTGTGTGTGGGTTTGGTTGTGTGTGTGTGTGTATGTGTCTGTGTAAGATAGAATATTAATACAAATCAACATCAGTTAATTGAATCATATCTCATTCCCTGTGAAATTCAATACACATATCTCTATACCACCCCCACCCCCTATATAAACATGGATACACTAGACGAGAAGTAATTCAGATAAGATACAATGATTAATAATGATGATAATTATTAATTCATTCACATAAAGTTGAAAATGTGAAAAATAGAAAAAAACAAAAACAAAACAAAAACAAACTGGAAAAGGTTTTTATTTTGAATAAAGAGAAATCACAAACTGAAGTTTATTTATTTAATTACGCCTGTTATTTCTAATGGAGCATAGGTTGCCGACTAATATTTTCCAATCCACTCTGTCCTGGGTATTCTTTCCTAGTTCTATGTAATTGTTGTTAATTTTTCTCATGTCTGTCTGTCAGTCAGTCTATCTCCATTTCTCGATGTAATGTGTTGTTTGGTCTTCCTCTTCTCCTTTGATGTTGAGGATTCCATGTGAGGGCTTGTCGTGTGATGCAGTTCGGTGCTTTCCTCAATGTGTGTCCTATCCACTTCCATCGCTTCTTTCTGCATTTTTTCTCCACTGAGATCTGGATTGTTCTCTCCCATTGTAGGTTGCTACTGATAGTGTGTGGCCAACGAATCCGAATTATTTTGCGTAGATAACTGTTAATAAATACTTGTAACTTCTGGATGATGGATTTTGTAGTTTTGCAAGTTTCCGCTCCATACAGTAGAACTGTCTTGACATTTATACTGAAAATTCTGACTTTGATGTTGTTTGACAGACAGTTGTTTTGAGTTCGAGATGTTCTTCAGTTGTAAATATGCTGCTCTTGCTCTGCCAATCGGCATCTTCACATCTGCATTAGATCCACCGTGTTCATCAATGATGCTGCCGTGATATGTAAAGGTTTTTGCAACTTCCAAATTTTCTCCGTCTTGTGTGATTCGATTGGTGAATGTTGTGTTGTATCGCAGAATCTTACTTTTCTCTTTGTGTATGTTGAGACCTACTGCTGCTGAGACTGTTGCTACACTAGTCGTCTTCTCCTGCATTTGTTCTTGCGTTTGCGATAAAAGAGTCAGATCATCTTTAAAGTTTAGATCGTTCAACTACATCCTAGGTGTCCACTGTATCCCGTGCTTCCCTTCAGATGTTGATGTCTTTATGATCCAGTCGATCACCAGGAGAACGAGAAAGGTTGAAAGTAATCAACCTTGCCTGACACCGGTCTTTACTTCGAACGAGTTTGTCAACTGTCCCCCATGCACGATTTCGCAGTTTAATCCATCATAGGAATTCTGTATGATATTGACTATTTTCTGAGGCATGACATAGTGTCGAAGAAGATTCCATAATGTTGTTTTGTCCATAAACTGAACAATAGTAACTAAATATTAAATTGTGTACATGATAATATGAAATCTATTCATTATTAATATAATACTTTTTATTTAACTCATATCAAAGAATTTTTATAGTTGAGATCATAAGACTATCATAATAAACCTGTAAGCACTGTATAGTTCCTGAGTTCAAATCTTGTGGGGTTAGATTATGGATACGCATTGATGAGGAGTTCCATAATAGGACGAAATAGCCATCTAATTCATCCAGGTTTTCCATGATAGTCTAGCTTCAAATGACTTATGAAATCAACTATCAAATTGTTATTTATTTTTAGAAGTGGTTTTATAGATATTATAGTAATTTCAATGGTTGAGATCATAAATCAGTTGAAGCTAGATTACAATGAAAAATCTGGAAGCACTTGACAGCTATTTCATCCTATTGTGAGACTTCTCAGCAGTGAATATCTACGATCTCGCCCCCCCGCACACCTGCGAGGTACCATTCAGCAACAACAGCAACAACAACAACAAAAAGAGATAGTTCCCCTTCTCTAAGGGATGATAGTGCCAAATATACAATAATGTAATAATTACAAATATAAACTATATTATGATTCAGCATTTTGATGAGAATTTTAAATCAGAAAATATGAAATATAAACAACATCATTACTTTATCACTAAGTGTATACATTGTCATATTAAATATATAATCAGTTAACTATAGGGAAAAGATAATGAATACTTTGTTAATATAAACATTTTGTTGTGTTGGATAGAAAAAAAAAAACGGAGAAGGGAGAAGAGAAATTCAACATAAAAACTTAGTTATTTGGAATATAAAATATTTAAGTAAATAACAGTTATGTATTTGATAGTAATGAATTATATAGAGTTTTAATAACAAGTAATAAATGGAGATAGTTATCTATCTCGGATAATCAATGATATCTCACAACAGAACTGGTTGAACTCCACTGATAACGGCTTCTCACTAGAACTTTAGGAGTATCTCTTGAAGTCAGTCACTAGTGAGCAGATGGTTATTATTATCAGAAGAGATATCAGCTCACTGAAGACAATGGTGTACGGTGGTTCAACTTCGTGGATTGGTTGAAGTTAGACATTAACACCGTTGGATGACGGTTCAGTGGTTGAGTTGGTTAAGCGCCTGGCGCGAGACTAATATGTCCTGGGTTTGAATCTCGCGAGGAGCGGGATCGTGGATGCGCACTGTTGAGGAGTCCCATAATAGGACGAAACGGCCGTCCAGTGCTCCTAGGTTTTCCATGGTGGTCTAGCTTCAACTGACTCATGATCTTAATCATTGTAATAAAATAGAGCGAAAAAGAAAATAGTTTCGTATGTTTTAAAATAAATAATTCTTGTTTCATTTTTATTTTTTTTATTTTTATTTTTATCCTTCTATTTCAATGTAAAATCTATACAATAAAGGTATTTGAATGTAATCGTGTTGGAAATCGTATACAAAAACCACCAATTTGTGCAGAGATTATTTGTCATGTTGATGAATTAGTGAAAAATCGTCCTGTTTTAGTTAAAGTTACTGGATGGTTATGGGCACGTACTCTGTTTGCAAAACATATATCAGATGTTGATGTAAGTTGGTTTTTTTTTCTTTTCATTTCTATCTATGTTTAATATTTGTATTGTTTAGATATATGTATATTTTAATACATAGATATTGGTACAAGGAGGCACCAAATACATGTGCACCACACGAATCTCATTGGATATGTGTGTGGGCTGTGATACTGACCGTGTGCACAAGCAGAAGCAGGTGGTTTTCTTAGGGGACCACACCCGGAGCCTTCGACCTGAACGTCTAACCCACAAGGCAGTGGAGCATCGTAAGGAGATGCAGTCTCATGGTAGCCGGTGAACAACGATTAGTTCATACGCCATTTGTTCCTTTAGGATATTGGAGCCAGACCATGTGCACCATTGATTTAGGATCCGGTTAAAGCGCCGGACATTCGCTATTCGTTCTCTCATTTTCGTAGACGACACCCACGCCACGAGAAGGCAGTGAGTAGGACTTCCCTGGAAGAGGCTATATACGCGTGGCCATGTGAGAGCATTTCGAGAGGGAGAGCGGACTCTCCCCGATCTCGGCCATACCAGGGCATTTATGGGCTTATATATATATATATATATATATATATATATATATATATATATATATATATATATATATATATATTGAACTGAGTAAGGTATAGATGACTATCGCAATCATCAAATGATTTTAATAATACACTTTTCTTTACTACAGTTATTTTTCAAATAGGTACCATTCACCACTATTTGACATCTTCCTGGATGTTCTGTAGTTGTCAATTCATTTCTCTTTCTGTTTTTGGGACTTTTAGTTCTTCAAAAAAAAAACTCGTAAACTATTCAACTAATCAGTCACTGAATATTAATTAGTGTCTAACTTTAAGATGAATTACTGGCTAGTGTAGCAGCAATCTCTGCATTAGTAGGTCTTAACATACACAAAGGGAGAACTAAGGTCTTCAAATACGACACGGGGAACAACAATCCAATCACTCTTGATGGCGAAACACTGGAAGATGTAGAATTCTTCACATACCTGGGAAGCAGCATCGATGAACAAGGAGGATCAGATGCAGACGTAAAGGTGAGGATAGAATTCCTACAATTGAAGAATATATGGAACTCAAAACATCTTTCAACCAATACCAAAGTCATAATCTTCAATACGATTGTCAAGACAGTTCTACTGTACGGAGCTGAAACTTGGTGAACTACAACAACCATCATCAAGAAGATACAAGTATTTATAAATAGTTGTCTACGCAAAATATTCAACATTCATTGACCGGATACCATCAGCAACAGCCTTCAGTGGGTGAGAATAAACCAACTTCCAGCTGAATAGAAAATTAGGAAAAGACGTTGGAAATGGATAGGACATATGTGCCACACAGTAATAATGAGAATGGGAAGAGATAATGAACGTAAGGTGCGTATAAGATTAGTGTATGATAGTGAAATAACAATAATAATAATGGGGGTAACAGAAAGGTACAATCACAAAGAATTCTTTGAGTTAAGGAAGATACAACCAATTTTTATGAAGACAGTAAAAGAAGGTTACAGCAGGATCGCCACTGGCCTCTATTCTGAACCATATCTGATAACGTCTCTAGCCACTGTGTTACACCATCTCTCGGACCCCAACCAGAGAGTCGTGAAGGACCAACACAAGCCAGCCCTTTGTAGCTTTCTTTGATACCACGACATTATGTCATACACTGACTACCACACAGATACAATTGTCGATTCAAAACCCATAATGGTAGAGGTAGTAAAAGTATAAGCAGTTATCAGAAAGATTAGGGTTTGAAGATGTTATTCAAGAAGTATAATCCAGTGAAATAAATTTGGAAACAGAAAAAAAGGGACATGGAGAATTCAGAAGATTAGAATTTGTGAGAACACAAAGAGCCGATGCACTTGAGCCATTGCAAACACATTAGATATTAACCCATTACCCCATATAAATTTACCCTTAAACAATCAGTAATGTTAATAGTTGAAATCATGAGTCAATTGAAGCTAGACCACTATGAAAAACCTGGAAACACTGAACGATCGTTTCGTCCTAGTATAGGATTCCTCAACGGTGCACATCCTTGATCCCACCCCCACAAGATTCGAATCCAGGACCTATCAGTCTCTTAAGTGAGTACTTAACCTTTAGACCACTAACACGCCCGACCAGCATCTGACGATGTTAGTGTCTGTAATGAATAATAAAATAAAATTGAAATAAATGCTTTACAATATTGATCAATCCATGTGTAACAATGAAAAATGTTTTCTGACTGCTATTTTCACATTGTATCAATCAAACAGAAGAAAAACTAAGCAAAATAGCTTAACCTCACTGTGTACGTTACTACGTGTCAAATATAACTGAGTACAATCAACTACTGAAAGGCTTGGAAATTCAATTTTATCCTAGTTGTTATTTATCAACAAGTTTTATTTTGTATTTGTATAAGTAAGATCAAGTAATGTTTCAACATAAGACTTCTACTTGAAGTTTATGTTGATCATGTCGTTCAGAAGAACGATGAAAGCTTCACAATTAAACCAACCAACTCAAAGAACAAAACTTCATCAAAATAAACATAAGTTATTGATAGGCTATTATAGAGAAACAGATAATGCTAGGCTATATAAATTTAAAGTTTTCTCTTATAGATTGGAATCAAATGAACAACTTATCAAGGAGGATGGCTATGAAAAGTTTTTTTCAGGTCCTTATTTAAAAGGTCCAAAATATGTGTACCCATTACCCTATACTGGATTGATAAACAATATGTTTAGTTCTTGAAAGGATCATAATACGTTTACACTATTTCATTGATATTAATTAGTTCACATTTTCAATTACTATTATTTCATGATATCTCAGTGTAGTAATCAACCAATAGCTTCTGTATGTCATAAAAATGACACAGGCATTTTGGAGTTTGACAATGCATTTACACATAACACCTTTATAATCGACGTATACCAACGTAGTCAAATCAAAAGTTAGAAATAAAGGTATTCGAAGATATATTTAGAAAACGATAGATAAGTTGAAAAGTGTTTGATCTAAAGGACGTGTGGCATGGTGTACCAACTGATGATTTGGTGAGGATGCATGACCGAATGCCTTCAGCTAGGGTATGTCCGGCAAAACGAACGAGGTCAGTATCAAATGTCGAAGAATTACAGAAATAATTATTTTGGGGATTCATTTACCGATACAGTCGGTTAGTAACATACTTCTTATTTGACTGAACTCTTATTAGGATGTAGAGTGTTAGTCCATTAAGCCAACATGATAAACTAAACGGTAAAACATTATAAAAAAAATTGACCCACAACTCAATAAACTCACATAATCAATTCATATTTACGCGTACATCATACTAATAACAAGCGCACACACACATAATTGAAAACAGTGACCAGTAAAGTTCAACTAGGTCTGTTGTGAGATAGTAACTTACTGAATACAACGGTGGATGACAGCTCGATTTCATGGATTGGTTGAAGTTAAGCACTAACATCGTTGGATGCCGATCGACCAGCCGACTCAGTGGTCTAAAGGTTAAGAGTTCGTGCACGAGAGACTGATAAGTCTTGAGTTCGAATCTCTCGGAACGAGACTGTAAATGCGTACTACTGAGGAGTCGCACATTGGAAAGAAACGGTCGTCGATTACTTTCAAGTTTTTCATCATAGTCTAACTTCAATGAACTCATGAATTCAACTATAAAATAACTAAAATCTCCAAAAATCCCCCCCCCCCCTACTGATAATTCAATTTATGCATGAATCAGTAATGTAAACTAATGTTATAAAACTGTCATTTTAGATAAATACAATCTCAAGAGAGTATAACCACCATCACCACCACTACTACCACCACCACCATCACTACTACTACTACCACCACCAACAACAACAACAAAAAGGAATGAAACTGTTTGTTTGTTTATTTTTCACTTGTAACATGTTTTCTTTGACACATGATAATAATAATAACTTTATATTTTATGACTAAATAGATAAATAAACACATATAGATCATATAGACTATTGTACTATACATAACAACCAATCAATCTGACATGTACGAGTAACGGAACAGTTTTTATCTGTCTATGAAATGGAATAATTTATCTTATTTACATTTGTAGTTATCAATGAATCATAATAATAATAATAATAATAATAATAATAATAATAATAATAATAATGTTAGAACTAAGGAAAGGTAGACATTTTTATTGTTTATACCTTTAATGTAAGGAATAAGATTACTCTGTTGTATTACAGTTTAATAATAGTGTAGTAAAACTCCGCCTAGGGCCCCTCTGGGGATATGGTGTGTGCTACTTATGTAGACCATAAATAGTATATGATGTTAGTCGTGAACAGAATGTCTGGCAGCAGAGAGACGAGAAGATTGAACGGTAAAGAATGCAATTTGTATGAAAATGCAAGAACAAAGGAAGTCTGAGTGAATTTGAGACAATTGATGGACATTTTGCAAATTGAGCATTTACGATATGATTGTTAGATTTTACTAACCAGTTCTGTAATTTGTTGTCAAGTACAGTCGATTGTCCCCATTGGTGATCTTGTTCACTACATTACGACTAAAGAAAAGTAGACATTTTTATTGTTCATTCTTAGTACCTCTAATGTAACTAAAACGATTTGACTAACTATCATCTACTGGTTTGGATAAACGAGAATCCCATTTGGGACAATCGAATGTATTTGAATACACAATATTACAGAATGTCTTAGTAAATTCTAAGAACCATTCAATGAATAGTTCATTTACAAAATGTTAATCGATTGTCTCAGATTTCGTTGTTTCTTCATTTCCATATCGATCATTCTTAGTTTTTATTCTTTTTTTTTCTTTGATCTTCTTAACGTTCTGCATTCAGGTGTTCCAGTTTCGATTGATAATACTTACTACTTATATATCTGTCGATATCAGTAGTATATACCACACGGAGGATTCCATAATATACTAAACATATAATATTAAATGTATAAACTGATAGATGCCTATAGAAGTAACCGAACATTGTAGCTGATTTTTTAAATACATAGTTAAATTAATTAATATGTTATTATTTATTTGAACACATAAATATTATTACAAAGGGGCACCGAATACATATGCGCCACACAAGTTACTTGACTTGTGTGTGGACTATGAACCTGCTCGGGTGCCCGAACTGAAGTAAGTGGTTTTCTTAGGGATTCACATCCAGAGCCTTGAACCTAAAGGTCTAATCCATAAGGCAGTGGAGCAACGTTAGGAGATGAAGTCCCATGGTAGCCGGTAACCAATAATTGGTTCATACTCCGTTTGTTTCTTTAGGATCCTCGAACCCATATGCATCATTGGTTTGGAATGAGGGTTTTTCAACTCCCCTAGGTGAAGCCTTCATATCCAACAACGCAATTAAAGCACCGGACATTCGCTCAATTTCGTGAACAACATTAATGCCTTAAGAAGGCAGTGAGTAGGAATTCCTTAGCAGTGGCTGCATACGCTTGGCTGAGTGTAAGCATTTTGAGAGGGATAGTACCAGGGCATTTGGAGGAAATGAGATATTCACAATATAAAATGACTTTGTCCAACAACAAAATATTTGAATTTGAACTGTAGGTTAATGGAAAGTATCTTCTTATGTACCAATGATAAAGTAGTTTATGTGAATACTTACCAAGGTTACTTTTTCAACTTAGAGTTTTGCAGAACTAAATTGGTGAATGGATAAGAAGACATTAGTTATAAAATTATATTTATAAAATGGTTTTAATGATTTTAATTTAAGTTCAATGTTCCAGCTGACAATCTTGTCTAAACCTCTTCATGAAAATAATGAAATGAAATAATGGATGTGTCGCTCAATTTCGTGGATTAGTTGAAGTTGAACATGAACACCGTTGGATGCCTGCCGGCTCAGTGGTCTAATGGTTAAGTGCTCGCGCGCGAAAACAGTAGGTCCTGGGTTCGAATCTCGCAGGAGGGAGAGGTCATGGATGAGCACTGCTGAGGAGTCCCGCAATAAGACGAAAAGGCCGTCCAGTGTTTCCAGGTTTTTCATGATAGTCTAGCTTCAATTGACTCATGAATTCAACTATTAAATCACTGTAATAACCACAAAAGCCCTATCTGATTGAAAACACAAGAGTTTATATTTTCCCATCAAAGTATTTCCCTTATATCTTTCGTTTTTCTTTGTTGAATAGGGAAATGAATACACTTTGAAATTTACTTTAAAAAATAATAATACAGAAGTTCAGTCACATTCATTAGATGTTTATCTTATTGTTATTGAGCTTGAAAAACTGAACACGTAATTATGGCACTTCGTATTTTATATTCGCACTGTCTTCGTTAACCAGTGATAACTACATCACATGAGAATGTACAAGCATTCATATGTACATACCTAAATGCATAAATCAGAGTCTTAGTGATTAATTCAACTAGCTGTTAAACATTAATCTACAAGTTCGAACCATTCAACACCTACTTCGTCCGCAAATGCCCTGGCACGGCCGAGACTGGGGGGAGTCAACTCTCCCTCTCTCCAAATGCTCTCACATGGCCACGCGTATACAGCCTCCGCCAGGGAAGTCCTACTCACTGCCCTCCATTATCTCAGATTTCATTGTTCATGCGTTTTCATACCAATTGTGTTCCGTTTGCATTCTTTCTCTATCGATTTTCTACTGAAATACATTCTATGCCTGACCATCGTTATATACTACTTATGTGAATATAATTAACCTAATGTCATATACAAATTGTAGTATGCCTAAAAGAGTTGTACACAGATTTGTACCTCATCAATAAGGCTCGTTAAATATAAACAAACATACATTTGCTACAATCCATTGAATGTTATAGATATTTGAATGTTGGACTATGTGATAAGAAGTTGATAATTTTCTATTGTTTTAACGTACTTACTAAGAGTAGGCTATTGTATTCAATATTCAACTATACTATTATGAATATAAGAATTAGTAATAATATCTAAATAGCTAAAAACTTAATTAAGTGATATGAAATTCACAAGCGAAATAGTTAGATAACTTCGCTTGGAGCTCACAATTCATTGATCACTAGGTGGTGATCAATGTCATGTGTGTCAAATCCTTCTTAGTTCAGATCAAATGCTATCGACCAAGTTGTAATGTGGCCAACAGTCTAGGTGACTCGACACTGCATGCATTATGTTGAGATTAGATGGTGGTTGAAAGTAGTCAACAGAAAATCCTGGACCCAGGTTTCGTGCTACTTGGCACTCATTAGCAATTTGTACTTATAATTTTGAGGGAGCACTAAGAAGGACTTGACACTCATAAAATTGATCACTATCCAGTGATCAGTCAGTTGTGATTACATCTCAGTCCTACAGGAAGTCGATCGCAGCCCAAATAGCTCAGTGGTAACATCTCTGACTGTGAAGCTGGGAGATACGGGATTGAATCCGTCAGGTACACCTTGCTGACAAGTTTCAAGTAGCATGAAACCCGGGTCCAGGGTTTCCTGTCGATTACCTCCAATAACCATCTAATCCACCTGGAGTTAGATATCTTTCTTGGTATTATTTCTATTCAAACTATACTATTTATACTTGTTTACTGCCTACTTAATGTATCATGTTCACAAGTTAGATAATGAGTTTATAAGTTCCGGTGTTACTATGTAAGAATTTTATTTAGGTCAAATAAACAAATGTATTATGTTTTCTATTCACATGATTCAATAATCTAAATGAAATTTATATTAAAACTACATAGAAATCAGCTGGTTGAATATTAATGGACTTTTATTAAATCAAACCCATAATGACTATCATTTAATACTAATAAATAATTTTAATTCAGTTTTAACAGAAGGGGAGTTTTTTGTCGATATTATAATAAGTTTAATAGTTGAATTAATGAGTTCATTGAAACTAGGTTACCATAGGAAACCTGGAAGCACTGGATGGCTGTTTCATTCTAGTGACGGACTCCTTAGTAGTACGCATCTATGACCTCGTCTCAATAGATTCGAACACAGGATTTAGGGTCTTGCGCGTGAGTGCTTAACCTCTAGACCATTGAGCCGGCCAAGATTTAACGGTGGTAATGTCTCACTTCAACCAATCCACGAAATTGAATGACATATCCACCATTGTCATCAGTGAGTTACTGTGGTATGTACTACTTATGTAGACATAAGTAGTATATGACGTGAGTCGTGAACAGAATGTCTGGTAGCAGAGAGACAAGAGTATCGAACAGTAAAGAATGGAATCAGAATGCAATTTGTATGAAAACGCATGAACAATGAAATGTCAGACAATTGATTGATGTTTGCAACAGGAACAGTCCAGTTTGATATGATGGATTCATATTTTGTAAATTAACGATTTACTATATGGTTTTTCTATTTTACCAATTAACTCTGTAATTTTGAGCTGAATACAATTAGGTTATCCTCACCTGTGTTCTCCTTCACTACATTACTATCTCGAAACAGACTCCAGTGGTCACTGCTTCTCGCTAGAACTCCAGGAAATACGTCTGGGAGACAATCACTAGTGATTCCCATACTAGGATGAGACAGTCATCCAGTGCCTTCAGGTTTTCTATCATGTTGATTCATGAATTCAACTGTTAAATTTTTAAAACGTAATATTGTGATTGCGATTGATTAGTCTCTTATTAGTATATGTGCATCCTGTACAAATTGTCTCGATATTACTTTAAATCACAAGGATTATAAGCAGAAATGGATGATTTAGTAAAAGGTAGACAAATGAGGATCAATTGACCAAAGTCATTCATTCACAGTGTGTTGGGGACGTTAGATCCCCAGAACTTACTTGGAAAAGAACCTAATTTTGCAATTTTATTTAGAAATTTTGAATTTCTTTGTTGTCGCGCCAAAAGCGCTCTTGTTACCTTCAAGTCGTATTTCCCACTTGAGGGGGGGGGAATATCTTAAATGCTATTGGTCCGTTGCGTCTTTTAGTATACTATTTGATAACTCTCCCCAAGGATGGTTTTGTACTGTATATATACATTTTGCTTTATGTTTGTTGTTATCGCTCGTGCTTCTAGCTGTTTACAGAATATACTTCCCTATTCCTAAGCTTGAACTTCTTCCTTTAGTTTAACGGAGTTGGGACATATTAGAATATCTAGCTTATTGATCTTTGGTCACCGAATCTTTGTTCTTGTTCATAGATTAACTGAACTCGTGATAGCTTCAAAATCTAACACAGTGGTTGGTCCATATACACATTATGGATGTGTGTGTGTGTCCATGTGTAGGTATGTTGATATACAAATACTTTTACATTGATATTACTATGATGATGATATTTCAATTGGTATCTAATCCCTACAATTTTCTCTCCCTCTCTCTCTCTCTCTCTCTCTTTGTGTTTCCACTTATAGCTTGTCACAATTATATCTGTCAATCAAGGTAATATTCCAAAAGGTGTACAACCAGCTAATGAACCAATTGGACATTTTTATTTATCACAAACATTTTTCTTTCCACAAATTCGTCCAAAATTAATACATCAAATACCAATATGGCCAATTATTGTTGGTATTATATTAGGTGTATTATTTTTATATATATTAATTATTATATTATATTTATTAGGATTTTTTCGTCGACATAAAACTAAATTACGTAAAGCAATGCTTAGTAAAGGTGGAATAGAAGATTTATATAAACGTGAACAAACTGAATTACTTTTAAATGATCAAATGAAAATAAAACATACTACTATGAATATATCATCAAGTAATATGAATAATAATTATCAACATACTGATGGTTATACAAATGCTACATTAACACCATCATCAGCACCAGCACCAGCACCATCATCAGCACCACCATCATCATCATCATCATCACGTATAAAGACTAATAAAAGTAAAAAATTAAAAAAAAAACATAAACGTGAATTGAATATTTTACATCCTGGAGATTTATCACCAACTGGTACATTAATTAATACACATCAGGATCAAGATCATGATCAAGATCATCATCATCATCATGATGATGATGATGATGATAATGAACAACAGAATAAAAATGGATCTGAAAAACAAAATTTAATTATAGATTCTACTTTATCTCAATAAAAAATATTTAAGAAAAAAAAAATTAGAAATAGGATAAAAAGCTTTGATAATGTATTTTATTTAATAATTTATCATCATTGCTTCTTCTTGTTCTTTTATGAATGTTTGTATTCGTGTGTGTGTGTGTGTACGTACGTATGTATCCGTGTGTGTGTGAGAGAGAGAGAGGGAGACAGTTAGTAGATGTGTACAAACGTTAAAAAAAATAACCATAGTTACCAGTTTATGGTTTGTCTTCCTTTTGTTGTTGTTTTTTTGGTGAGTTTTTTCCTCCCTCCCTCTCTCTCTCTCTCGCTCTCTCAAAGAATTTCATTTAAAGTGTATAAATCTATATTTTATTGAATTTTTTGGATTTATTGTGATACACCTCTGTCTCTGTCTGTCTCTCTCTCTCTCTCTTTATATCAGCCAGCTTATTGTCTACACATCTACTACTTATTTTGTTGTTGAGATGATTTAATGTCGATATCATGTTGATTGTCTGATGGTTTGACGGACTGACTGATTGATTGATTGATTGATTTGACAAACTTAGTACTTCACTTGACTTCAATTGTTCTCCTATTGAAATGTTTCATAATATACAAGTAAAATGTTGATAGTTCTATTTGTTTTTGTTTTTTTTTTTTCATGGCAAGATATATTTATTCATTGGTATTACCCTATCACACACTCTCTCTCTCGCAGTCTCTCCCTCACACACACACACACACACTCTATAGAATTGGAAATAGGTATCAATATGTGAAATAATGAACATGAAGAAAGAGAGAGAGATTTGCTTTTTTGTTGTTAAAATTTTTTCTTAGTTGTTCTATACTACTATTCTGTTCTATTTTGTTCAAATGAGCTTTTTAGCTTAGTTTATTATTATTATTATTATTATGATTTCAAGTAACATAATAAGTACAATGGATAGTAATAATAACAGCATGAGGAATTAGGAAGAAGAAGAAGGTGAGGAGGAGGAGGAGGAGGAAGATCATATTGATGATGAGGAAGAAGAAGAAGAAACGATATCGTCATAACAACAATTGTCATATGGTTTCTTTGTTTTTAAAAAAAAGTCAATCATTATCAAACTTGTTCTTATTTATGATTAGAAACGATTGTTCATTCATATCTATTACATAATAAGAGTAATTACTATGGTGAAAAAATAGAGATATACAGATAGATACACACATAAATAGATAGATAGACACACACACATACCCACATCCATACATACAAACACAACACATCAATGTTTATATTTTATAAAAACTGTTGTTATGCAAAATGTTCTAAAATTATTGATCATGTTTATGATATAAAAGACAATTAGTAGTTGAGTAATGTTTACTATCTCTATTTAATTATTTTCTATGAGAAGAAAATGTAATAAAATATGTTCTAATGAACTTTTAATTGATATGATTCTATTTTCAGTATAGGGGTTGTGGAGATTAATAAAGTTTTTGATTGAGATCATGAACCGACTGATGTTAGACCATCGTTGGAAACCAGAAAGCACTAGTCGGCTGTTTCGTCCTATTGTGGGACTCCTCAGCAGTGTGCATCCAAGATCCTGCTGGCGGAGTTCGAACCCAGGGCGCACAAACATTAAAACCTACCGGACCGCTGAACCGGTCGGCATCCATTGGTCTTAGTGTTTGACATCAACCAATTCACGAAATTGCGCGACCATCTTCCATTGTACTTAGGTAGATACCTGTTTCTACCCGACATGGATTGTTATTGTAAAAAATAATGAACAATGATCCTAATATTAATAGTTGAGATCATGAATTAAATGAAGCTAGACTATCATGGAAAACCTAGAAACAATGGACGGTCGTTTTGTTCTATTGTGGGATTCTTTAGTAGTGTACATCCACGATACAGCTTCATGAGATTCGAACCACAGCAGCTATTAGTCTCGCGTGCAAGCGCTTAACCACTAAACTACTTTTATTTATGTAGAAAAGTTATTTTTCATTTATATGGAGTTCTGTAGGTTACATCGGTCAAAGGTTCATATCAGCTAGGGAGTACGAGTCACAATTACAAACTACTGAATAGCTAATAGTATTTGACCACAAATGCCTTAGAAATATTGCTCGCATTTGTTGGAATCACCGGGAAGTAATAGTGAGGTTAGACGCAGGGTATTAAGGAATGATGGTAAATAAGTTGATGTGGTTGTGAATCTTCATCAACTGAGATGATTGGGTCACGTGTTACGTACGCCTAAACACCGATTACTAATCATCAATAATGACCGGACAGCATAGATCCTATTGATTTACGTAACTTTTTTAATCCTAAATAGCTGGTCAGAGGACGAAGTTTATTCATTTATTTATTTGAACACGTACAAGGATGCACCAAATATAAATGCGCCACACAAATTTTCATTTTATTTGTGTGGGGGCTGTGATACTGCTCGGGTGCCCAAACCGAAGCAGGTGGTTTACTTAGGGGACCACACCCCGAGCCTTTGACCTACAGGTCTGACCGACAAGGCAGTGGAGCATCGTAAGAAGATACAGTCTCATGGTAGCCGGTGACCAAAGATTAATTCATACACCATTTATTCCTTCATGATACTGAAGCCAGCCCATGTGCATCATTGGTTTGGGATCCGGTTAAAGCGCCGGACATTCGCTATTCGTCCTCTCATTTTCGTAAACAACAGTAATGCCATGAGAAGGCAGTGAGTAGGACTTCCCTGGAAGAGGCTGCATGCGCGTGGACGTATGAGAGCATTTCGAAAGGGAGGGTGAGCCCACCCCACTCTCGGCCATACCAGGGCATTTGGGGGTCAGAAGACGAAGACATCAAGTTAATATTACCTTCGGTCATAAAATTCAAAATCTTCTACATTAATTACACCACCACAATGCACCACAAATAAGTAGCTGAAGTTTCTATCTAACTCAGTAACATGTGATACAAAAATGAATAATAAGTTCACAAAACATACAACAACAATAAGTGAAACAAATGAATGCTTACAACACGAACTGTTATATCCCAATGAGAATAATGAATGGTTACTTTTGGGATCCATTTACAAACCAATAATATGCGTATATTTTTATCGTATAATTGTTAAGTAGCTAAACTATCTGTATATTCGTGTCCCTCTTATTATGAGATTTATTTTGACCTATGAATTGTTACTATACGATTTACCATTCTTGAGTTATTACCTGTCTATTAATCACTACCTCCCACGTTCAATGTCATTTTTGGCTTGATCTTGAATAAATGTTAATTTCTATTTTATGGTGTGATATGATCTGTCAGGTAGGTAATATAAACCGAGTATGTTTAAAATACATGATCCATATCACAGAGGCTCGGATTGGTATTCTGGACTCAATTGGCTGAACTAGGCGAAAAGCAGGACCAATAAGGACTCTAGACTTCTCGTACGGGTTTTAGGCATCATTGATCTGGTCGATAACCCACTGTTCTCTAATTGGCAGTATCATTACGTAATATATATATATATATATATATATATATATATATATATATATATATATATTGATAAGGCCATATGTATACTTATAGCATTGGTCCAGGAATAGATTTCAGTAGTTACTAATCAGTATTCTCGCTTGGATATAACATAAGGGATGAAAATAAAATTGATTTGAATATGATAACTATTCAACTAAATCAATTTGAACATATTTTAAGATATTTTTCAATCTCTGTTTAACTTTCATTAATTATTTATGATACTTTTTAATAGAATAATCAATTTATGCCTAGAAACAAAATACATAGAAAAAATTAATTCCCCTGTTGACAAAAAAATAAATTATCAGTCAGCTATAACATAGGATTAGGCACATATAGATGCATCGGTCAAACTTGCCTTACCTTCTAAATAGTTTATTTTTCTGGTTAATGTATTTCTAGCGAATTGGCAGCTGGATGATTTAGACTTCGCAGACGATCCAACTCTTCTATCACATACACACAACAATAAATGCAGGAGAAAACAAGCAGCAGCAGCAGAAGTAGTGGGTCTCAACATACACAAAGGGAAAAGCAAGATTCTCCTATACAACACAACATTCATCAATCGAATCACACAAGACAGAGAAGATTTCGAAGATGTAAAAACCTTCACACACTTGGACAGCATCATTGATGAACACGGTGGATCTGATGCAGATGTGAAGGTGCTGATCGGCAAAGCAAGAGTAGCTTATTTACAATTGAAGAACATCTCGAACTCAAAAAAACTGTCTGTCAAACAACATCAAAGTCAGAATTTTCAATATAAATGTCAAGACAGTTCTATTGTATGGGGCGGAAACCTGGAGAACTACGAAAACCATCATCCAGAAGATACAAGTGGGTGGGTAACTGTCTCACATCTGACACGGATTACCTCCACTACTGATAAGTTCTATACTAGGACGAAACGTCTGTCCAACACTTCCAGACTTTCAAATTTTTTTATTTATTCGATTCGTGTAAGGGCTAGGATATTGCCCGGGTCCCCAAACCGAAACAAGTGGCCCTCTTAGGTGGCCACATCCAGAACCTTTGACCTAAAGGTTTAATCCACAAGACAATCTAGCAAAGTAAGGAGATGCAGTCCCATGACAGCCAGTGACCAACGATTGGTTCGTACTTCATTTGTTCTTTTAGGATCCTGGAGCCCATGTGCACCATTTGTTTGGAATGAGGGTTTTTCAGCTGCCCTAGGTGAATCCTACATATCCACCAACCCAGTTAAAGCGCCAAACATTTGCTTTTCGTTCTCTTAATTTCGTAAATAACAGTAATACCTTGAGAAAGCAGTGAGTAGGACTTCCCTGGCAGTGATTATATGCACGTGGTCACTTTGAGAGCATTTCGAGAGTGAAGGAGAGCGGATTCTCCCCACTTTCAATTGTACCATTGCATTTAGGGGTTTTCAATATTGATCTAACATTGATCAATTTATGATCTTAATCATGAAAACTTAACAATTTCCCCTCCCCCCCCCC